AATTCTTGATGATCAAACCTTTCACATGCTTCTTAACGTATATACTTGTTACTAAATACAAATTAAATGCATTATATATCAAAAGATAGGCGATGAAAAATACATAGAAAACCTATATAATAATCATTTATTAAAAATGTAAAAAATACCGAGTTTTTGTTCAACATCATTAAAGTATAGTACCAACATCGAGTATAAGTCGCTGTATACATTGCATTACAGTATACTCACTGTGGGGTTTATACTAATTGATAGAGCTTTTTATGGGCGACAAATCAATATATGATTTCTCAGGAAAAAGCTTCGAAGACGCTTGGAATCAAGAAAGTTTTGTTCGTAAACGTCAAAAAAAGAAATTTATGCATCGATATTCAGCCATTTCGGTTATAATAATAATCTTTAATCTTGTCATTCGAACCAGATGGCATATTTGGAATCAGCATAAAAAGTAACATCAATCTATATATGCTTCAAACTTTTTTGAAAACTTTTATTTTTCAACTAGAATTTTAAAGGCAGCTCTCAGAAGTTAAGGGCTTCAGTTTTGACTAGAGATAAAAGTTGTCAAAAAAGCTTCATATATACATACATCGACGCCAATTTGTATACTGATTCTGAATATTCCATGTGTTAATTATAAAGACGGTTATTACGACCGAAATTGTTGAATATCGGTCAAAAAATAGTGGTTTTAGTTTATTTGAACAAAACTTTCTTGACTCCGAATAATGTTCGTCGTTTTTTTGTCAGACAAATTATACATGAATTTGTCGCCCGTCTTTGAAATATTTCTCACTGTCTATCTATCGATATATAATCTATTTTGATCTTAGTAACAAGTACATAGACCAAGAAAAATGTGTAAGACTAGGTAACTTGTGATCCTCGTCTTTATATCTATACGAACAGATCATTAGAATTCAATTGGGTCGATATTCCTATAGACCATCACTGCTACTTTTTGATGAATCTTATCTTTAGTTACCAACAATCATTGCTGACAATGCTGGTTATGATAGTGCAGAATTAGTAGCAAATCTTCGTGCTGCTCATACTGCAGGAAAATCAACATTTGGTCTTGGTATAGTTTTTTCTTTTTGGTTTTTCCTATGGAAATATTGCTCTTTTTTGTTAGATATGGAAAAAGGTACAATTGGTGATATGACTCAACTTGGTATCCTTGAATCATTTCATCTTAAACGTCAAGTTGTAATCAGTGCAGCTGAAGCAGCTGAAATGGTATTACGTATTGATAATATTATTAAGGCACCACCACGACCTCGTCAACGTGATATGCGCCATCATTAGATGATTTAAAAATATACAAGAAGAAAAATTTTTTTCAAGCAATTTCGAACATTATTGTTTGCTTTGGTTTTTTTTACTATCACTTCGTAGACCCATTTTTCTTTTAATATCTATATGCATGACTGTGTGAGAGAGAATGTTTGAAAACAAAAGAAAAAAAAATACAAACCCTTTGTTGTGTCAGTGTGATTGTTAACTTGTTTGACTTTTGTTGATGTTTTCTTTGTTATTAAAAACAAAACAAAAAAGACTATTAAAATAATCTCACTTTTGTCATGATAAATAATCTCAAGATTTTCACTTGAAAAAATTTATTAGCTGAATAGCATTAACATTATTAAAATAGGCCGAAAGCAATTCGGATAATTAAAAAAAAAAAGGAATCATTTGACACGATATTCTAAACGATTGCTTGAGAATTAAAACCAATAAACAAATGATTCGAGTAAGATTCTGATACATAGGACAATTCATCACGCTATTGTTCACTATGATACAATAGACTGAAAACATTACTATTCATTCAGGAACTTTGGAATAAGAAGGTCAAACATTACTAAAATAAGTTCTTTTAATTATTTCTTTTTTCTTATTAACAGAGCATCCAATACTTGGATGAGACGTGGAATAAAGAATACTGGAAAATTATGTTAAAATAGTTTGTTTGATGTAATTATATTTTGATCTAATATCTTATTGTTATTGGTAGATTATCTCTTCACAATAATTTTAAATGAGCTTTTTTGATTAGCTTATGTTGAGATCAGCTAAAATCGATAGTACAATCATGAATTTAGAATTTCTAATATACAGGGTGTTCCAAAAGTCACACTACACTTAGTGCTATAGGACAGTACTAAGTGTAGTATGACTTTTGGAACACCCTGTAGTACCTTTGATCATAAAGAAGTCTCATAAAAGATCAATAGATTTTGGGTCGGAATAATAAGCATTATGTAGATCCTGATGGGTTATGAACACTTTGAAAAGAGCTTCCACTGTTAGCTTATTTTTGTCGAGATACCGCATTTTTATGGTATGTTTTAAATCAAAGTTGTGACGCTGTTACTCCTCAGAAACACCAGAAAAACTGATTTATAAATGTCAACTTGAAACATTGCACAGCAATGTACTTCAAACAGAATAGTTTATTTTAAAAACTTTAGATCTATTCGTCTTTCCTATCTTACGATGCATCTATGGTATAGGAATGCTCTTCATATTATTCGTATACAACATGAAAGATTCGATGTTTTTATTGCATTATAGAAAGAAAAACAAACAGGTCAAAGTTCTGCAATAAATTATTCTTCAGTTTCTCATTGTTTCTGAGGAGCAGCAACACAGGTTTGATTGAAAATAAAACCATTCAAATGTAGTTTCTAGGCAAAAATAAGCTAACAGCGTGAAATCTTTTCAAGGTATTCAAAACTCATTAGAATATAGATGATGCACATTATCTGGAATGCACAATGATTAATCAGTTGTGAGATTTCTTTTGTTAGTAGAATAGCTGATTCGCTGATATTGAAAATCGCAAATTCCAAAAGAAAAACAAGAAAGACAAACTCCTTTTTTATTGCATACAATAAACATAAGAGAAAAAAACGAGAATTATATATCAGCAAAAAACAAGAAATTTATCTAAATCTATTTTTCTACTATTTTACAACCGATGAACTATATAAGGAATGGTTAAGTGTGGAACAATCTTTGTTATTAACTTACTTTGCATACTATCATGAAAACAATTCCATAAATCTATACTCTAGTTTATTTGATACAGTGTTTAGCATAATTGAATTGACTGACGATAGTCTGATTGTTCTTAATAAGAGAACTAAGTACAGTCAAACAATAACAATATATCCTCACGTGAGTGCAGATTTTTGTTATTGCTACATCTTAGATAATCAATGTTAACATTATAATTAAATTTTTTATGAACTAATCTTTTATTAAAAAGGTCATAAAGCTTGATCGAAATGTTAGTTAGCAAATGACTACCTGTTTTTTATCATTCAAAGGTAATGATTAGATTTATTTAAGATAGATCTGGAAAAGTATGTAATGCTAATTTAATATTTACCGAATGAAACCAGTCGTATTATATTTAACTTTTATTACAAATGATTTCTATTTCCAAGTAGTTAACTGAAACTTTACGTTCTCATTAGGATGTCAACAACTTTTTTTTTAAATTCAAATGTTGGATTATTTTGAGACGCTTTTTTATCAAATATTGGAAAAAATTTTCACAGAACATGTTATATTTATTTCTGACCATCCAAATATCATATTAATAGAAACCTATCAGTTAAAGTATCTCATCTTGTCATCGGTCTTTTGAAAAAAACCAAAGATTATCTTAAGATTCTATTTTTCTAATGTAAGACGTTTGTTTAATTAATTTTTTTTTGCTTATCACAATTTGTCAAAGTAAACTTCATACTTTAAATAATTATCATAGAAGTGAGGATAAATAATTATGTTAAAAAATACATATATTTTATTGCAGTATTTCTTTTGTTCCATGTCGTATGTTTTGCATAAAAAAATTTTCTTCTCTTAGTAAAATTATAGAATTACCATTGTGAAACAAACACGTATTACATGAATATTCTTATTTTTATAGTTTATCATAATTCATTTGTTAAGACAAGTTCTATTCATAGATCGCACTAGAAAATACGAAAGTAGTTTATCAGTAGTAATCACATATTTACTCATTTACTTCTGTTGATTAGTTAAACCTCGATGAACACATAAGTAGAGAAGAAATACATGATTTTACATTAGTTTTCTGTTATGCATACCTTTTTTTTCTTGTCTTCAATCTCTGTAAAAAAAAACTTCACACGTCAAAGAGAATAAGAGAGAGAAAAATTTACTAACTATTATTGTAATTGATAAATGAAAAATAATAAAAAGAACAAGTTTTTTTTATTTTACTTTTACTAGTTTCTTTAACTACACTAATAAGCAAGGGTCATTAGGAACGTAAGTTTATCATGCAACTCCATACAGAATATGTAGTATTGATATGATATGTCATCAAATGAATCAGTAATTCGGCAATTCTATTTTCGTTTTATTTTTAATATTATATTACTGTCTATATGTAAAGATAAAAACAAAAATCTTGAAATCCATTATGCTTTTCGCACTTTCATATTTATAAGTGTTATTTAAGTATAAAAACATCTCTGATCTTATTCTTAATCAATATAGAACAATAGTAGAATTCTGATCGATGAGTTTCTTTTTGTATTTATTTTCTCTGATTATTATTTTGATAAGTATTCTATAAGAATGGCAAATGATTGGTATTTATTTGTTACTAATTCTTTCAATTCGTTCAACTTTCTTTTTGTTTGATGATAAAAACAGATATTATGTCGAAATGAGAGATTCTTTTTCACAAAATAACTATACTTTTTCTTTCATATTATAGATGAAAATCATTGAATATTACAAATAGAACTCTTTACCGATTCATATCGAAAACTAAATCAATCTAAACAAAAAAAAAACATGACTTCTCACAGTTCTCTAGAGAACTTTTCTTTTGTTTATACTAATTTTTTTTTAGCATTTTTCACCTTTCCACAAGATCAGCTGACAGCACAAAAAAAATGACGAAATCAATCTCATCACAACTTGCTATTATTATTTCCTCTTTGATCGCTCTTATGCAAGTAGCTAGTAGTGCCGAATTCGCTCGGTTACCCACGAATGGTCTACGACGACCTTGGCTTACTGATTCTGGTCATCATCGAAATGATTTATTAAAAAGATGGTTTGAAAAAAGACCAACTGTTAGTGCAGCCGATGCTCGTTCGAAAGCGTCACCATTCGATGCTTTAAAAGCAAGTCATCAATTTAAAGGTACATATTATTATAATTGTTTTTCTCATGGGATCGTCTAAAATTTTTTCTGTGCCAACAAAAAGTATCTATAACTAATAAAACTGTCTTTTGAGTGTAATAATCAACGAAAATATTAATTTAATATTCAATTGAATTATCTTGTTATTTTTATATAGGATGTATTGATCCATCGGAACCATTTCAATGTCCACAGAGTGAACGATGTATTGCTTTACAATTTATTTGCGATGGTCATGCAGGTGATTGTCCTGGTAATCTCGATGAAAATGAAGAAACGTGTATTGCATGTAAATAAATATTTTTCTATGCTATTAAAACAAATTGTAATGTTTTTCTTTGTTTTTTTAGTTAAACGACCAGCAAAAGACAATATTGAAAATTTTTTTGATGCTGAACATGTATTACATGGTTCACAATTATTTACGTTTTTATTTGGCGAAAAATTTTCAAATACTATTGAAAATAATAAATCATTTTGGTTAGATGCATTAGCATCAGCATTTTCAGGTAAAAATTTTTATTATTGTTTTTTTGTTTATTAGAAAATAAAAATAAACCAAATTTCTTCTTTTTATTTTTCTTAGTGGCAAAAAATCTTAAGAGTTTTGCTACAAAATTACAAATGTCACCTGAGGATGTTGCACATTTTCGAAATGTTGTTGAAAAAATTCATGATGGACGATTAGAAGAAATTCCTGTATTTGCACAAGAAGCTGTGAATCAAGGTCTTGCATCGTTAATTGAAAAACTTTATGACTCTGGATTTATGGAAGAATAAAATAAATATATACAAAAACATATTTGCTTATATGATTTTTGAAAATTCGTAAGCAAGCAAAAAAACAGAAGGAAAAAACTAGAACAACAATAAATATTTGAGAAAATATGATTAATTTTGTCGCTTTTATTATTTCAACCTATATTCACTTCCATCTTTATGATCATGTTGAATAAACTTAAGTACCTATACATCGGTTGAATCTACGCTGTACTTCCTTTAAAAATTAAATGAGGAAGAAAAACATTAGAGGCGAAAAAAGGAATAAATTAGGCAAAATAAGCACTGCTTTATGACGCATAACATTTTTCTGTTAATGAAAAAACCCTTAAAAATAGCATTGTCGTCATCAAATCTACACTAACTTTATGCTATCAACACAGATAGGTTTCATGTTCATTCTGCCACACGCAAAAAGAGATACTCAATTAAAATCAGTAATCAGTTCATTCGAATATTTGCATATGTCAAATTCAAAAAAATCCATAAACAACATTCTTCAATGTGATAATAACGAACGTTTGGAACAGTTTATCTAAATTTTTGTTAAATATCAAATGGCCGGAAAGCGATATGAATCAAAAACATTCCATGCTTATTTTCGACATATTGCTATTAATCCAGTTGTATGTTATCTATATAAATTTTGTTACCTTATGAATGTGAGTTCGGTTTTATTAATAATAACAACGTTGTAAAGGTAGAAGAAGAAAGTAAAGAGAGGAAGAGAATAACCAGATAACACCCAGAAAAGAGAAGAACATGTATACGTATACATATACGATAGCAACAAGAGGAGAGATCATTTGTACAAAGACTTCTCCATAATAACTGATGATAAATTGTTAATGATATTTTTCATACTTTTTCCTGACGTAGAGAGCTGAAATTTTTATCACGTATATCTTCAAGGAGGATCTTTCGTCTCTAGAAATTTCACTCACTCTAACTATAACTAATGGTGAAATATTTTTCAAGCTTGTTAATGTATTGCATCAGTAATTACAGCTAGAGAGCTGAAAATTTTAGAAACAAAAAAATCTTGATTTGATATATATATATGTGAAAAAATTTCAGCTATTGACATCAAGAAAACTACGAAAAACATCACTAACAATTTATAATCAGTTAGTATGGAACATCCTTTAAATTGTGAAAATTCATGTCATCTTTTAGGAACGCGTCAAACATGAATATATACATGTATAAAATGTTCTTGAAAAAAAGATGTGGATTTTCATCGGTTATGCATTCAAAAAGGTTTTAATTTTTATTAGAGACTGTTTTCGACTGTGATCCGTCTAACTAGACTATTAAGATCGAAAAAAAAAGATTTCTAAAAAGCGATTGCAATCCCATAGATATACTCACGAGCCAATATAATCTTGCGGGAACTAAGAACAACTGAACACCGAGTTTTAATAATGTTAGCTACATATTATCCATCATTGGAATCAGAAATAATGACTATAACCTTAACCCATCAAAAAAAAAATAAAGAAACTGCTTCAAATTTTTCAAGTATGACTTGTTGTGATTGTTCAGCACATTGGCGGCAAACTCAATGAAGACAAACGTATATTGTTCTAAATATCAAGTACATCTATGTCTTAATGTAACATAAAATTGTTCTAAAGATTATCATTGTCCAAGAGTTGATAGATACACATGTAACATCCTAATATTGATATCTTTAATGTTTTTTGATTATGAACTGCGGTTATAATGAACTAAAACTAATTATACGTTATTTTCAGAAATGATTCATTTTCTAAAAGCAACTCATAAAAGTAAGACACGTCTAGCTTTATATAGATAAATAATAATGTAATTGTGAAAACTGTAAACAAGTCAAATTTTTATATCATACGACACGAATGCGTCATTTTTGATCCATTTTGTACGACCACAATGAAATGACTTTATTTGAATTCAACCATACGTGTGTCATATTGAATACCCACATTATCTATTCTAGCAGTCGACTCAATATCAATTGTACCAAATTAGTGCCACGTGTTAGAGCGTTAAAAATATGTTTAAGCAATCTATTCAATTATCATTTTAGATTAAAAGTAAAGTTTTCAGAATAGTATTCAAGAACAAAATCAAATAAAGTGATAATAGTCCAACCACCAAAAATTTGATTCATTTTGTGTTGAAAAACCAATAACATTGCACATACAAACTAAACTTTCTTTTAGTCAAGTGTAACTTATTCAAAATCGATTTATTTCTCTATGAACATAAAAATCAAGTTTTATATTACGAATTAATTTTGTTAAACGAATCGCTCTTATATATCAACTCCCTTTTTATATTTATCTAATCTTACTTTATTTAATGCACGTTTACAAATGGAAACACTTATATCTACAGGGTGTTAAATAACCTTTACGCCCCCTCTATAACCTAAAGTATCCATGATATTACAAATGTATTTTATACCAGATTAAAGTGCGTCAAAAACTGGATTTA